TTTTTTTTTTTTTTTTTTTTTTTTTTTTTTTTTGGTTCACCCGGGCTACTTTTTCCTAATTTAGCTTCGGCCTCGGGAGAAAGCAGCGATGGATTACAACAGTAGGTTGTTAGAAATATATGGCGACCATCCCGAAGTCAGAAGAATTGTAAAGCATCGTCACGTTCCTAAATCAATTTACAGGTAATGATGTGCGTTGTTAGGGGACTTTAGGATGTAACTGTTTTACTGTTAAAGTATTTGAGCAGTAAAGGTAGGTGGCATTGACAAAGCGTATTCACTCAGTGGTTATGGATGAGCTTTTTCTTATACTTTTTTCTGTAATCTACGTCTGTATTATTTTCTAACTGGTTTTGGTTTGTAAAAGTGAGGGTCTTATCTGAAAAAGAGTGCAGGGACTGTTATGTTCTGAAGTCTCAATTTATACGATCGTACAGGCTCATTAAACTACTGTTTAGTTAACTTTTCCACCTTTTTAGTGCTACAAAGGAGCATGCAGCTATTCATTTATCAGAACGTCGTAAAGAAGAAAACAGAAGAAGGCATTCTAAACCGGGTGAAGTACCGTTTATACCAGAAGTCAAGAAGCATATGGTTGAATAAGTGGTTTTGTTTCTTTTAATTACTTTTCTTTACTTCATAATTGTATTTTTATCGTCGCGAAGGAAATTGTTATGTATTTAATTGTCACCATTGTTATCACCATTGTTATGTTTTTAAATTAGATGACTAGTTATGTGATTAGGATCTGTTCAAAGTTCTATGCCTTATTTCTACCGGGTAAAATTGTTTGACTCATGGCAGGTTCGTTGTCGTTGGACCTTAATCTTGTAAGGGTTCGAAAACTATAGCTGCCGAGCTATGAATTTATTAAGTCGACCTTTATGAAGGATCTCGTGGAGTACGATTATTGGTTTTTGAACAGTGTTCATGTCATTTACTTTTTGTCGTTGTTCATTTTGATTTTTGATTGACTTGCATACGCGTTATTTTTAATCGTAAATTCTTGGTCTTGCTACATTTTTGAACTGAAAAGGACTACTTTTGTATCTTAGTGCATTATGTTTGGAAGCAGTTCCAAGTTTCTTGTTTTTCGTCAACTTTTTTGGGAAAGAAATGAAACATGCCCTTTTATTTACACGTACTGTTATGGATCTCGGTGGAGAGTTTGGTGTTACGGTTACTGTTTTTCCGTTCAATTATTGTTCATTCTTTTTTGTATTTAAGAATGGGCTGCAGTGCGGGAAGGGAATCACTTTTAGAGTATTCGTTTTAGATAAATTAAAAGCCGAATAGTCTGAAAAGTCAGGTAGGTTTTATTAGCAACTGCTTAGCAGGTGTTCTTATATGCTTGGTTTTAGTGGCTAATGAAGTCGCTGCTTGTTTTGGTGGAAGTGATGCGGATATATCTGCAGATTTGTTGGTGTTTTGGAAAGTTGAATAAGCCGGTTATGAAAGGCATTTGCGCGAAACGTTTGAGCTCGCTTCTTATTGTCTGGAGGAAGTCGTTTTGTGACGGTCTGTAGAGGGAAATAAAATGGAACTTTTGGTGTCGGGATAGTACTGATCCAATAGAGAAGAGGGTGCTTGTAAAAACTAACTGGCTGAGGGTTGTAAACAGGAGAGGTGAAAGAGCAGTTGGAAATTCAATGGGTATTATTTTGGGACAGCAGGGTTGAATTAAAAAGATGTTAAACATATTGTATTAAGGTTTTATGTTTCTACAATCTACATAATGACTGGTCAAAAATTTCTTGGCTGGTTGGAATTGCGCTAGTCCTGGTTCAAAGATAGTGAAATAGAAGCAAATTTTTTGATTTCGCCGGTCTTCGAAGGACAACTTGAAAGATGTTGCCTAACCTAAACTTCAGTTCCACATTTACTCATCAGGATGCTCTGTTAAGATACAGGAGCTGGCTGCTGAAAACATATTAGGATTTGTTTTAATCTACAGTTATTGTTCTCAAATATGCAAAATAATTTCTGAATTACGATAAAATAAAGTCGGATTTTTAGTTTCTATTTGCGTGACCCGATATCTCAAAAGTTTGTAAAATAGTTTAAGCGAATAAAATAAGCAGAGCATGAGTAGTGGGTGTTAGAACTTATGAATTTATGAAGTGAACGTCATCGCAAGGCTAGAACTTGGCTACGATGTTCAATTAATCCTCTTTAACTGCAGTGCTTGCTGTGCTTTTGAATGAAGGATAGAGTCGATAAGTTGATGTAGCACCGGTAACAGTAGAAGCAATTTGAAAGCTGAAATTAATTTCTGGATTACAGATTTAACTTTATATTACTTTTACACTTATAGTTTTTGAGTTAAGTTTACTTGTGAAATTTGAACTGAATTATTTGTCAGCAAGTAAATCCGACATTTTTTCCGCAGTTTCTGACTGACAACAATAGTTTCAAATTTTCCAAATCGGTTGGCAGTGCTGTTGTATATAGTAAACAATATATTTGCTTAAATCTGTTTTCAGTTTTGGACAACTGATGAAGTTCTTCCAGAATACAGTAGACGTTTGATTTAATAGTTCAATAATAGTCGTCTTCAACAGTTCTACAGTAGTTTTTTATCCATGAACAGATGATAAACAGTTAATGCTTCATCTTTTTTTTTTTTTTTCTTTGTACACTTAATTTGTAATATATAAAAAATAAACAAAGAAAAGGGTAATTGTTAAATCTTTTTTTTTATTTTCTTTTTTTTTTTTTGGAGGAGCTAGTTTCTTTTAATTCTGAATGTTTTAGTACAAGAAAAAAAAAAAAAGGAGAGGAAGAAAAAGCGAAGTTAAAAAATATAGGAGAAAGAAAATTGTAACAATAATAATTTTTTTTAAAAATATTTCAAAAATTATAATACATATTCAGATGTGGAGGAATACTGTTAAATAGGTGAGTATTTATTATTATTATTAGTAGTAGTTGCGCTGTTAAATGGACAGCAACAATTTTTGTAGACCAAACCATTTTTGGTCATCATTTGTAACTGACTTTCAATTGATATGGATTAACATTAGTGACAAGCAATAATACATTAACAATTATTGTTAAGAAACAATGAATAAAAACAGAATAAAATTGATAGATTAAAGTATTCATTGCTGTACACAATTGGTTACACTATTGATACAGAAATATTTGATATAATAAATAAAAATTTACCGATATTCTGATGAAACACTAATGACAAATACGGTAAATGTTGATGTGATATTTAGTTAGAAAATTAGAGAAAAAGTGACAGCTGAGAGACAAAGGGGAAGAGCAAGAGCAAGAGAAAGAGGGTGGAAGGGGGGGGGGAAAAAAAAAAAGGAAAAGAAAGCATAAATTAATTGGTAGACTAACAGAGAGAATGTTTGGCACAGCTGAACATCCATCCATCTGTATGTTGCAGCAATTGTTTTTGTTTTATTACTACTGCTATGATCAACAGGTTCGGTTGCTAGTTAATTGTTGTTCTTAACTGGAAATTTTCTACTTATCAATATTTTTTATTACTTTCGTATAACTTAACCTTTTTTTTTTTTTTTGATCATTTTAATTTACTTTTTTATACTCTTATTTTAATCCATTTTTTTTTTCCATCTTCAACTGCATATATCTATTCAATTCAGTTGTATTCTTTATTTTTTGTCTTATATTTATTATCTTCATTATATTTCTTTTTTTTCCCCTCTCTCTCTCTCTCTAAATGTTTGTTTTCAATATAATAGTGAAAAATTGGAATTAATATGCCGTACAAAAGTAAAAGAGAGAGAGAGAGAGAGAAAAAAAATGAAAACAATTGCAGAATTCTTTATTTCTTTCCCTTTATAGCATTAAGTTTTGTTAAGGTACATTCAACAGTTCTCTCGTCAACTACTACCGCCTATGCAAGCCTATTCAGCTGTCATTACTCCACGGTTAGGATCTGTTCTGTTGCATTTTTATTGTCTTTTTCTTTATTGTTGCTAGCAAAAACCTGTTATGTTTATGTTTCTGATATATTCGTTGAAAAACTAGTGATATTTTTGTAGGCCTGAAGAAGTACCTATCAAAAAGTCGTTATTGCCAAACCGGGATATTCTTGAACATCAAAAATTGGTCATTCCTAAAGGTTCAGAAAAGACTGTTTGCCGTTCAAAAATAAAGCCTTTGTCTTCAAAGGTTTTTTCGTAAATGTTACAACTCACTGTTTAATTATCTGTAGATCCAAATTGACGGATCTGTAAAATGAGTAAATTATCCAAAAACGAAAAAAAAAGAGGGATAAAACTTTTTTTTTTTTTTTTACAAATTTTGACTGGATCATTTTTATTTTTTGAAATGTCAGATTTTTAAAATGTTTTTTTTTTTTTGCCACCATTTTTACTGTTTATTAAACAAAGCATTTTTTGTATTTCCAATAGTTTTCTGCCCTCGAAAAAAGACTTCCTACATTGTACTGGGTGCATTATGACATCTCGCTGAAAACAATATCAGTTCAGATTTTATCGGACTAAACCTACCAGAAGATTCGACAAATATTAAATCTTTAACACTAGAAAGCGTGTCAACTTTAACTTTATCGGGAAAAGGACCGGCTGCAAGAGCGGTAGAAACGAGAGGGTAGGAATCATCAAATTTCTGGATTGTGTCGATTATATATAAGTATAAGAAATTATGGGCGGTTTTTCTAGCATGAGCCACTACAAATTATCTTCTGATAATTAACAGTTTAAATAATTTTGAAGTTACTTTCTTCTTGCGATTATTCTTTTATTATATTTAACGCATGAGTACCAAATGAGATAATCACGTAAAGATTTATGTGCTGTGAGAAATTCTCAAACTACAGTGATAAGCAATATCAAATTTCTTTTGGTGTTACCGTAACCAGTTTCCGAGAGTGGCGAAAGCCTGCCGTGGAGATGTCTTATAGGAATTTCCAGAAATGTCTCTGATTGTTTGAAATAGAAATCTGTGCTCTGGCTGTATTAATACGCTTGTCTCTTTATTCGAAATTATATCCTTTTTAGTTTGACGGTTCGGGCAGATTTTCTTAAAGAACCGGGAGAAGTTGGCGGAGGTAAAATTAAACGGTTGAGCGGTGATATGGCTAATGTGGGAACTGAAGGTAATCTGAGTGATTTTATTATATACTCTTGTAGTCAGGAAGGCAGGTAAAAACAGACTTTTGTTTGAGCTCTTCAAGAAGCTAATGTTTTCTTCGTCTTTTAAGTGTTGGTTAGTTTATTTTTAGATATAATAAAAAACATGTTATGTCCTTTTTGAAAGCAAACGATGTGTAGCAGTTGATGAATTTAGTAAAGTGGACGACTAACTGTTATTTATATGGCATCTTGAGCATTTTTTTCTAAGTTTAAAAAATTGCTAAAAGCAGCAACTTATTGTAGTAAAGGCAAATTTTTTCTTCGTTTTTTATTAATCTCTTATATATCTTTCAACTAGCAGTTGGTGTTAGGATGGGCGCCCAAGTCATCCTAAGGTCTAACGTTGTTTAGATAAATCATCCAGTCGGGAACTTGTGGTGCCCATCATTCCAAATTGGTTGGTTTTCTTTCTTTTCTTACGGGTGACAAAACGCTGTTAGTTTTTAAATGGGTTCTTTACCAAAAAGTTCTTATTGGACTGCTTAGTTTTTCAAAATTGTTGTCTGCTCGAAAATCAACTTGATAGAAGTGTGAAATTGATAAAAATGAGTTTCTTGATAAAGTATAGCCTCCTGCAAAACTTTTTGATTTTGATTCTATGATGCTTATGGCTTTTAGTTACGAATGTGAATTATATGATCAGCGGGAAGTCTCATTTAAAGCATATCTTAATATACTCGTTGAAAATTGTTCAATACAAAATAAAATTATAGATTCCTTGGTAGGTAAGTGCTAGGTTGTCAAGGAGTTTTGACAAGTCTGTACTCTACTGAATAGCCATCACTTGTTTGAAAATTAGTTTACTAGTTATAGAGAGGGATTATTATGGTCAAAACAACGTTAGTAAACATCACAAAACTTCTAATAAAAACTTTATAAGCTTAAATACTAGGAAATCAGCATAGGCTTTTAGCAACTCATAGGTTTTAAAATATACTGTCATGAATAGACCATTTGAAACGTTTAAAAAACTATTTGGTTGAATATAAACTAGAAGGGTGGAGTGGATACAGTGTAACCTTACACCTGGAGCACCAAGGCATTTTTCCATTAAAGGAAAAAAGTTGGTCATGATCTCTTATTATTATCTTATGAATTAGGAAACGGAAATGAAGTAAAAAGGCCTTGGTAGGGGAGAGAAAAAAGGCGTTTTTAAGCAGCGCGTAATTTACAGCAGGGAATTTCAAATCAGTCAATTTCTATCTTACTATAATTCAATGTAAAAGGGATTCCTATAAAAGTTTAGCTCATTATTAGTTAACTGTGATAAATATGTTTGTAGAACTCCTACGTTTCTTCAAGCTATTCTTCAGCAGACCTTTAGAAGAACCGCTTAGCAATGGATTTAAAGTTCAGGCAGCTCAGTACATTCAAACGTTCGAAAGGGCCGCCGCGAAGGCCTAGGTCGTCAACGACTTCTCCAGTTGAAAAGAAAATGTATAAGCCAAGATGTATTTCTCTTTCAGAAAGCTTCTCTCCTGCTGATTTAAGTGAAAAGTAAGTTTTTTTGATTTTTTATTGAATAGGGGCAAGTAAAGTTGAAGGAGAAAGCAACAACTTTTTACTTAGTCACAGCAGAAAAATAAGCCTTTTAATTGAAATTTCTACTTGGTGGAAGTTTTAATTTTACTTTCAAGCACATTTTCACAAAAGTTTAATAAAAGGAAACTTTTGGCTACCAGTCTTCTTGAAATACTATTATCTGGTTGTTTACTAACCTGATATTAGCAGTGTTTAATTGCTTTTGAACAGCAGGTTTCTGTCTTGAAATTCTCGTAGTTATTTTGCGCTCAAGTGCTGCAGAACAAAAGAAAAAAATTTTTTTGACGGAACTTCCAAACATTTAATAAAAGTATACTTGTTATTTTTATCCGAGTGTTTAGGTTTGAATGAGAAAGTCAGATATTGTCTGATAGTTCTTATTGTGGTTAAAAATTTGGTTAGAAAAATAATCGCTGCAACCAAGCTAGATAAGCAGCTAATTTTAGCAAAACTGGAATTGAAAGTTAAAATGTATACAGGTTTTTAAAAACTATTTCAAACTTTTGGTTGTTATAGGAATATGCACTTAACTTCTAAAATTCTGAGCTTTTTATAAAGTTGTTTAGGGATAGGAAACAAAAAGAAAATTCGGAAATCTTTGAGTACTTTATTTGGAATCAAACGGTAATTCTTCTTAGAAAATTTTTTCAAGATTTAGGGAAGAAGAAGCATTTTGTATAGTTACTTTTTATCTTCTTTGCAAAGTGCACTGAAAAAGAAATTTGTGCAGAGCTTTTGGAAATTGCTGTTGTGCTAAAGTTTAACGTTGCAAGGTTACTCTTCTCCAAGTTTGTAGATGCCAAGGGTCTTGGTTCACCATTCAAAAATTATTATTTTTTTTAATAGAAATGCAGGTCGCTGGACTTCTAAAGGATTTTAAAATTTAATTTCTAAATACTGAGATGCAGCGGAAGGGGATACACTACCAGCAGTACATTTGGTTGCTGTTTTGGTTTAAGTTAGAGAAAAATGTGAATTACAGGTAAAAGAACTAAAATAAAGAGAAGAGTAGGCTGTAGGTGGGCAGAGCAGAAAAACAAAACGCTATTTCTGCTGACTTTGATGGTTTCAAATATTATCAACTTGTTTTAGTTCGCACATTCAACATCTTTCAACCGTTGTTCGTCTACTTTCTCGTATAACGACAAAGTCAATACAACTATGTTTCTTCTCTTCCGCCAAAAAATTTGTGTTTGGTCATTAAAACGTCTATTATGTTAAATTTTTACATTGCAAAACTTTTTCCAAGCTACGGTACTTTGGCAAGGAAAAGGTTTTACAGTTAGGCAGTGTATTTTCTGAAAAAAATATTAGTTGAAGTATGCCAACCTATCTGGGGTGTTTCCTGGTTTCATTGCTTATGCTGGAAAGCGGTCAAGAAATAGTTTTGCTCAACATGAAGTCATAGATGAGCGTTTATTTAGCAAAGTTAAATTGTTTGCTAAAAGTTCTGGCTTTGCTACGGTCCCTCCCTTACGCCAACTTTTTGGGTTTTTTAGCTCTTTTTGAAAGTTGAAAAATCTAATCCTAAAAACGGCGAAAATCAGCTTTAAAGAAGTGATGTCTCAACTTGAATTCTATCTTGGATGACAGTTATAGTGGGTACGAAAATACTGTTTCAGGAAAGGCTCAATTCAACAAGGTTCTGAAGAAGTTCAGAAGCCGAAAACTGAGATAAAACACAGAAAGAAAAGTCCAAAATCAAAGAAAAGGCATGGAATAACAGTCAAAGAACAAAGAAGTGGAGCACGAAGACGACCTACCTCAAAAAAAGGCTCTAAATCAACTGCAAAAGCTCGCCCTCCTTCACGTAAAACTGCCGCTGAGAGTGCTGAGCTAATTGCTTTGTCACCTGAGCATCCTGAACGGGTTGAGGACGCGTTAGCTTTTTTGTTTAATTGAAAGCACAAATACAGTTCAAGTTTTAAGTGACCCAAAAAATTACAGCTCAGGATAATTGTTTGGCAATGAAAGATACAGAAGAGTAAGAAGTTTATTTGTTACAACGTCTTTCCTTTGTTGAAAATAACCAACAAGAGTTGAATTTTCAGAAAGCTGGTACAGATTCCACCATCAAAGGTCTCAGGGAAGCGAAAACGTCCCAAAAGCAGTAAGGGTGTTTTGGCCAGCAAAACGGCAATTTCTAGCGCCGGGCATTCAGCAGTTCTGTCAAAGATGAGAAAGAGAACTGTTCAAAGACTAAAAAAAAATGCTGTAATTGGTGAAGGAGCTACGCAACAAGCAGGAAGGCTGCCTTCGAGGCGTTCATCTGTTAGCAGAAGTCGCTCGTCTCCTACATCTCGGCGCAGCAGTCTGTCGACAACGGGTGATTACTAAGAAAAATTGACGTTTTTAAAAAAAAATCCAAATAAAAAGTTTGAGCTTTTAATGCAATTCTATATGTAGTTCTACTGAATTTAAGAATGAAGATTTGAAGAAAACAATAATTTTTTTTTCAGGACGCGCAGAAGACGGAGAACTAAGGTATCTGGAGCTGTTTTTTACCGCTTTTTTGTCACTGTTCTGATTAGGTTGAGCTTAAAATTATTATAATTAATAAGTGAAAAGCCAAGATTGAATTATGAAAATGCAATTTAGTTGTTTGCTAACTTTTTGTCAAGCTTTAACATAGTGAGCTTTTGACAACTTTACGGTCTCATGCTTGTTGGAAATGAATTTATTGAAATTTCTTTCAGAAGTATTCAAGACGTCAGCATAGCGGAGCCACAACAGGACGATGTCAAGGTAGACTTTCTTTCACTGATATAAGCAAAAGATTGATTAAGTTTTTCCTCTATTTGTCAGAAGTGGCATTTTCATTCTTTTATAAAATTTCTTTGAAACAGTTGTGTTGATGGCGACTACAGAGAGTAAAAGCACAGTAAAAACTTTTAAAAAAGGCGATTTGAGACCTAATAACGCTTATTACGAGTAATAGAAGAAACAACTAATGTTTAATTTTTTGACTTCTATTTAATGGACTATGAAGAAGGTATCGACAAGTTCTCCGATTCCTGGGTTTTAATGTAACCAGACATTTGAATAACATTTGAAGTTAGTCGATTTATTACAAATATATTTCAGGAAGCGGTGCTGACTTTTAGTCAGGGCGAAACCGATGGCGAGGATGTGCGCAGTGCAGTTGTCAGGAAGAATGTTTTGAGGAGTCAAAGATGTGCCTCATTATACGGAGCGAAAAGACAGGCTGCGAAAAGTGTTGTTGGACCTCTGCATCAGATCAAGTCGAGCAAGGTAAATTGCTGAGATGTGGTGTCTTTTTATGTGTATTGAGTTTGTATCCGCGTTTTGTATTTAGGCTTGGGCACCCTAATAAGTAGGTTTAAAATAGTCACGATAAATGTTTTTTTGTGTGGACTTTTTTAGTTCTTATATTATGTAATACTTCATTATTTTTTGTTTGCATTCTTAAGTGAGTAAAGCTGGATAAGCGCCAACGCTGCAGCAGTTTGATAAACTAGCAGCTGGTGAGAAGTTAATGTCATTTTACATTATCTTCTTATTGTCATTACCTTACAGTAAAATCAGTTATAGCATAGGTATATGAGAGGTGATTTTGTAGAGTAGATCAGGTAAAACAACTTCAAAGGCGGAGTCTTTGCCACATGGAGCAACCATCAAGCGAAACAGTGATGGAAAAATGTGTACTGCAAATATAGTTTTAGCCGATGGAAGACCGTGTACAGTGACTATCAAAATAAAGTGGAAACGCGTAAGGATTTAGTTTTTGTTGGTTTTCA